GAGAGAGAGAGAGAGAGAGAGATGTTTGGGTGAGCCTATGGGATCATGGAACAGTGTAAGTCTAACGGTCCAGATTGAATTTGAGCCGATCTGACGGTCAAGATTGTATATCTGTAATATAATTTTAATATTTTTTATATAAATACGAATAGCTTGAAAGTTGGAGCAGAAACTCTTATCATCAATGCGCACCTAATAAAAATATTAAAAAAATAATTCACATAAAAGGGGTATTTTGATCAATTTAATTTATGTGAATTTTTTTTTTTTATATTTTTTATTAGATTCGACTATTTTTTAAGAATAGACGCTCCAAATTTAAAGTAATTTGGATTTATAGAAAAAATTAAAATTCAATGATAAAAGATAATTGTGATCATTGGGTAGTCCATGTTAGTATGATACTTAGATTTAAGCGAATTTTTTTTCCTTTTTCAAAAATTTTGTTTGCTTTTTGTTATTATTAGATGTACAATATTTCAAAGGAAAAATATTTTTGAGTTAGTAAATGCTTAGATCTTGAAATTCACCAAAAAGAGGGTCTAGATTCATTATTGGAGAAGGATTCAGTTTTTACCAAATGTAGAGTACAAATTGCATTTTATGTTTTTAGGAATTGACTATGGGGATGAGGATAGGGTGTGTGCAATGTTTTGGGTAAAAAAAATGCCACAAATATGATATTTTATTTGGAACATAATTATGTCCAGGTCGACCAGGCCTTGTGGTCTTGTTGAATCTGATCGACTCAGATCCAACTATGTCCAGGTCTTGTCCAAATCTATCCTTAGCCATACACAACCAGACCCATATACATCCCCAAGGAAAGTATAACTATTTAGTTGATGGTGATGTTGGAGTTAGACGTACTAAAAGGGAAGTTGCTTCATACTTTAACCCATACTAGTGGGATTACGATGCGTTTTGCAAGTAAAAATATAAAAGAGATAGGAGAAAAATAAGGGAAAAGTTTACATTGTGCTGAGGCTCTAAACAATCAAATTAGAGCTTACCTCAAAAATTTCACTAGAAGATGTTGAGAAAAAAATGGATTCCAAGTTTGAAAATAGTGTATCTTGTAATGCATTTTTGGACAGTCAATTTTCAAGATTTCCAAGCTTTCATAAATCTGGTGATCTACACTATTTTTGAAGCTTTAAACCTTATAAATAAAGATGAAAATATATTTTAAGTCTATCACAATGATTTCCAACATTGAAACCACATTTCTCGACACTATTTGAAGGTAGGCTCTAAGTTGATTGTTTAGAGCCTAGGCTCTATAGAAATCGCACCCAAAAAATAAATATATAAGAAAAATTAGAAATATTGGAAATGAAATAGTTGACTTTTTCAAACCATTAAAAATTGGCAATTAAAAATAAATAGAATACATGATGTCTTAAAAATTATGAATATTATTTATTATTAGATATTGACGATATGATAGTCCTTTAAAGTGTAAATTTTATTTACATATTTGCAAAAGTACTAAAACATGGATACCTATTACTTATAGTTTTTGTTAAGTATCTAAAGATGCATTATAGGAAATTGGGAAAGTGGAATAAACAAAGCACAAAAGTTTTACTATGAGAAGAGAATTTCAATTTTTACATTATAAAACTCTTAATTCCTAAAATCCCTAACTCAATTCCTATCTATCTGTTCGCTACTAAAATCTCGTGCACCTAATTTTAGCACATTCTTTTTATTACTTGGATTGAAACACGAATAGAAAATTTAGGGAAAGAAAAATCTTGGATTTACTTTCATTCTATGTAGGTGTACTCACGTAACCCTAAAAAATTATACAAATGACTCATACATAGTTTACAAAAGATTTCCAAAGATAAACATATTTCAATTTTTTAGAAAGTCTTTCCATAGATAAGGTCCTAACTCTCTTTCTCTCTCTCTCCATATCTCGCTATCTGTCTCTAGACATCTCTCTACCTGCATTATTTTATATAAGTGTCTCTCTAGATAAAATTCTCTCTCTCCACATCTACCTATTTATCTCTGTCTATACTTTTCACTTTATATGTATTATTTTTAGAAAAACTACTTCTAAATATTATTTTAAAAATATAATATAAATATTTCTGAATTAGGTGCATACTCTAATTCTCTTTCTCACTGTAAAGATGAAAAATGTGTCTTACAATCTCTATAGAATTAAAATCTCTTTTTATTTTGGTAGCATGAAAAATGTGTCCTACAATCTTTATAGAATTAAAATCTTTTTATATTTTGATAACATGCAGTCACACCTTAACTCTTGCTGGATAATATAATATAGCACGATAGATAACATCGAAAATAAAGCATTTGGGTTACAAGAGTTAATTACTTTTCCATCACTGTTGCAGGAGGAAGAGAAAGTGAGAAAGAGAGAGAGAGAGAGAGAGAGAGAGTACATAAATAGATGAAGCGCTCGAACCATCCTGGCTTATATCCACTTTTAAACAGTTTATGTATTGCAGCAAGGATGTGCAGAGGTCCTGCGCCTTGTTCGTTTCTTGCGTGTGCAAGACTTGGAAACTTCTCTAAAATCAACCTTGGTGCACCTGCGTTATATTTGCATAGGAGTAAGGTACTACTCAAAGTTCAAAAGTTAAAAAACTTTTCAATTGATCATCTTGAAGTCGAGATGTATGGATATACATAAAGAAAAAAATTTAAGTCTTAAAAATAGTACATTTTCTAACAAGTTATCTGGATCATATATTTTCAAGTGTTTATAGATATAATCAAACTGTATTATTTTCAAAATTTTAAATTTCATAATTAAGGTTTTATTTGGATTTTCAAGCTAAATTAAGTTTTTCGATACTGGAACTACATCTTCTGGCAAAATTTAACTTGTATGGTATAAGGTGCGCAGCTCATACAAACCTCAACTATATATCTATATATACTCCCACACACATAAAAAAGAAAAAGATTTTATAATGCATCAATTTTACACTATAGAACCTTAGAAGCAAATTTCTTAACGAGATACCTATTTATCTACTGTTTTTGCTCTTTTTTCCTGCCCTTTCCAATATGAAGTCATTAATAATAGTGGGGAACTAGTTTTGGGAGTATAGAGTGTGACCCACATGGTAGGACCAATGACATTGTGACTGATTTTC